TTATGAACACATTTTTTCCTTAATCAGAGAGAAGTTCATCTTTTTGCATTTTATTCTGATGAACTGTTTTTAATAAAATAATTTTTTTTCACTCCATCCAAAACATTTGATCTTTTTAGATATTTTTGAGTTGAATAAGATTGTCACAAACACGAAACACTAAAGGCAGAAAAATAAACCTGATATAAACACCAATTATTTGTAGTGTAGCTATTGATAATTTAGTAAGTAAATGTGTGTTCCTTGCCCATCTCAGAAGTGAAAATAAGATGAAAACAGCATTATCTTTGTCAAAATTTTATATAGGAAGACATATATATATATATATATATATATATATATAGTATATCAATAAACATATATATTTATTAAAGACATTTTTTATGTTTAACGTTCTTAAGTATTTAAGTAAATGCTCTGTTTATAATAAACAGTATTAAATAACATTTATTCAGCTTGAATGTCGAGTAAATTTTCATAGAAAAATATTTGTCTTTTGACAGGATTAAACAACCATCATATCATAACCATCATTTTAAATTGGCGAAAATTTAAAATCTAAACTAATTTTATTTCAATTATCAATAAAAAAATTCGAATTTAAATTTTATAAACTTCAATCTTCCATGAAATTACATTCATAAAATCAATGCTCTGGCGTATCAAAATAAACAAATATTTCATATATTAAAAAATGGACAAAGTCTTGACAATTTATTTAAAAAAATAACATTTTTTTTATGTTTTCAGAACTTTCTTTTATATACAGATACAAGTAAGAAGTTTAAATGCTATGTTTATAATAATTTTTCATTTTTTAAGGGAGAGAAATTTTATTTTGTATCTATAAAAAAAATTTTTTATTTTTTTCATCTTTTAAATTAAAAATTTTCAAATTTTAATCCTTTTTAAAAGTTATATAGATATATCATTTTAAATATAATATATATTTATAATATTAATTGGAATTGATAAAAGGATAAACATCTAGAGTTAATAGCCAATCCCTATTGCAGACTCTCGCTCAGGCACATTTGTCTTTGTTCAACATCCACAAGCCAACCTCCTGGGTTTTACTGCATTTATGCTGAGCAAATAAAATTACAGTTTCTGGGAGAGATTTTGTGTTATTTAATGGATCAACAATCTGAAAAAAGCCAGCACACTCAAAATCTAGGTCACAATGATTTGTGATTTTGTAATAAGTCTAAATTGATGGCCCCAAGTGTTCTTTTTACTATATCCAACATTTAATTTTTCAATTCAACCCATGGTATGAAATTTTCATTATTTCCAAAGGTGTACCCACACAAATGTAGGTACATCAATAAGTCCATAGTATAATAATGAAAAAATAATTTATTTCAAACAAATATTTTTTCATAAAATCTCATTCCTTGTCAACAAACTTAACCAATACTTCTCCATTGATACTTGGAACTGATCATTTGAGAACGGAAATTTTCAGTTAATTATTATCAGAATTTAGACCATATAATTAATTTCTTTTTTGTCCATATATATATATATATATATATATATATATATATATATATATACAAAAATAAATATTATATATATATATATATATATATATATATATAATCCGAGGAAATCTGACAAATATTTAATATACTTTCTGTTTTTTTATGTATACACTTATCTAAGTAAATGCTCTGTTCTTCAGGTAAACAGTATTAATTACATTTACCAGCCTGAATGTTTGAGAAATTTCATAGAAAATATGTTTTCTGACAGGAATCAAACCTGCATCCTATGAGGATCCACCATTAAGACTGGTGTGCTATAACCATTCAGCCACAGAGAACTGATTCAGCAAAGCTTGAATTAATGCCTTTAAACACACACTTTCACTGGTCTCTCTTGATCTATTTTATCTGTTCTGTATTTGTATCCCAATGTAAACAATAACAACGTATCATAGGAAATGGATTAAATCTGATAAATATTTAATATATAAATGTGAAAATAATAAATAAAATGAATAAAAAAATATTAAATTTCTTGAGTGGAGTAAAATTTTTGAGAATTTGATTATTAATTCTTTCTCTTATGGTTTGGTGATCAAACGCCATAAAAAGAAAAATGAATGAGCAGGTGTTATTCTACATTTTCAGTTTAGCTCATCAGAACATTTTCCATGTAAATAGGGATAGACTTTATTTTAAAATATCTTTTATTGCAAAAGAGACCATTCAACATTTGTGTGTAGTTTTCTCAGGGGCACACAAATATTTTCAATCATATTTAGTAAAAGGTCATTCTTGCAATGAGAGAATGTGTAGGTAGCATAATAATTATCTACATGGGAAGTGGAATCATTGAGCTGAGTTCAATTTTTGGCTTTGTCTATTACATCCACTTTCAAATTAATGCTTTTAGTAAAGGCATGAATAACTCTTCTCACCAAATCATCTAAATAGCAGGATAAACTGGCTCTCAAACCTTGGGTGGCAGCCAGTCTAGGAGAAAGCAATAAGAAACTATTTTAGTCTTTCCCAAGAAGTCATGGCAATTCACAGATAATAAAGAGATGAAATCTGTACAGAAGAGAACCATGATTACCAATGTCCTGAGGGAGCATGAAATTAAAAAAAAATCTGTATGATGATAGCTTATCTCAAACAGTGATTTACTAGTTTGCTAATGTAGCGAGATCAATCCTCATTGGGCACAATACCATTGTGAATTTATGTCAGACTAAGCTATTCTTAATAAATAAACACTGGATAGCTATCATAGCATAATGCCTTGCAGATTTGTCAAGTTTAATTTAGCCTAGTGAGGTCAATCATCATTGGGTACTCTAACACTGTCGCTTTGAACTAGAATAAGTTAATCTTAACCAGTAAATATCCTCTATAAGTTGTTTCATAAAATTATTTTATTCCATTAAAATAAAAGCTGGAGTTACAGGAATTGAAAAATTGCCAGGAGGCATTTTGAACTTTGTTCTGATTGGTGTACACCTTTTCTTATGCATATGCATCTAAGACCTAGAAAAAAAAATGATAATTGGTAGGAGACAAAGTGAACAGGGAAAGTTATTTAAGTACTTTAATGCCTAAATGCATTAGTTTTATGAAGTATGAGGTCTTGCATTATCCTGCAGCAAGATAAGCCTTTTCTGTTTGCCACAGTTGTTCAAAGATCCATCAGTTTGAAATCATGACATTAAAACTCTGCTATGATATTCTCACCAGGTTGCAAGAGACTGTAATGGGTTATTTTATTACAGTAGCCATCAATCAGGAATATCTTTTTCTTTTTTTTTTTAAAAGATGAGCAAGTTTATCAATATAAACAAAAACATTTTTCATCAAGCAAACAGTCAAGAAAGAGATATTTTTTCTTTTTAAATAAACAAGCAAATTGCGGCAAATGTTAAATCATGCAAGCTGCTAATCATCTATTCAAATCATGGAGTACCCATATTTTCTTCACTTTACCAATTTTTGCCAGATGTCATTCAACTATTGTATGAGCTACTACTCCCAACATTACTTCCAATGTTTATATGTTTCTTTCTTGATGAGCTGCTATGGCTGATCTCAATTCTTCATGGTTGTGTGATGACTTGCAACTAATCCAGGCTCATCTTAGAGGTTGAGACCTTCAGAGAATAAATTTTTGAGCCATTGATCCATGGTTATTTCTGAAGTTGACTCCAGCTCTCCATAACTTTTAACATTGCAGGTGGCCACACCTGCACAATGTTTGGGTTTGGACTCCGAGCATAGTGACATGAAATTTGTCTTTATTCATCGTTGTTTCAATAGCCTATGAAAAAACTAAAAGTAATAAAAAACACTGCTCAAAAGATGAGCTACAGTGTTTTAAAATGATTATGGATGTATATCTAAAGAGGGAACATTTAAAGATCTGACTGAATTTATGTGATAATGGCCATTTATTTTGTTCCTACCTAATATCTATCTATCTTTTAGAATATAACCTAATACATTTTACAATAACAGATTCTTGTTATGTCTTATCACATGTCCAGATGTAAAAAAAAAAAAAAAAAATTGGATAAACTTGAAAAGACATTGAATTTCTTTAATGAACCTGTTAGGAAAAATATAACCAAATACAACCGTGTTGCTAGATATGATGATGGGAACCACTGTGTTACATTAATGAATGAAAAACTGCCTCCAATTCAAAGGAAAATATTACTTGCTTTTGTCATTCTTTTTGTTCACTTGCCAGTAAAAAACAAAAAAACAAAAAACAAACAAACAAAAAAAAAAACAAGATATTTCAGAATGCTGAATGATAAAAATTGTCTTGGATGGCACTCAGCCAATAACTGCACAGGAATCATTCTTTTTATGATTAATCTACAAAGTAAAACTATTTTTCAAAAAATAAAATGTATTCTTGTTTCTTCTCTCTCCATTTTTTAAAATCTTTTTCAAGAAAAATAAAAATCCACATCCACCCACATAAACTACTAAAGAAGATGGCAGTTGTAACTCATATTTTTAAACTTGGACTTTAGATTTTTTATATTAAAAAAGAAAGATGAAATAAATAAAAATAAGAAAAATCTTATTTGAAAAGCCTTATTTCAAAAGATTCTAAAGACAGTCAAAGACTCTGGGAAAAATAAAAAAATCTTTTGCCAAATGGAAGAGGATTCTTCTTTTGAGAACAGCTTCTGATTCCTCCATCAAGGCTATCATATTGGCACAGCTGTTTGATACTGGAAATACAGTAGATTCTCTTTTTCTATTATTCAAGTCATACAAACCATCTATCATATAGAGAGAGGGAAAGAAAGAAGGGGGAGTGATTGATAGTAAAATAGCAAGAGAGAGGAAAAGTGTGAGAATTAGAGAAAAAGAGACAAGGAAAGGAAGAAATTGAGAATATAAATGGATCAGAAAAATTAATAAGAAAATGGATAAAACTAAGGAAAACAAGTGAAAAAAGAAATATAAATTGAGAGAAAGAGACAAAGTTTAGAGAAACAATTAAACAGGATAAAAAGGGGGAAGAATAAAAAAAAAACGGAAAAGATAAACAGATAAAGAAAAAGAGGAAGCAAAATAAACTAAGACAATGAGATAGGGAAAGAAAAGAAGGGAGAGGGAGAAAGGAAGGTGGAAGAATGAAGAGAGAAAAATAAGATTAAATAGTTGGAAAAAGAGAGAAAAAAGGGGAAATAAAAGATTCAATAAAGAGAGAGAATGATGGAAAAAGAAAGGAAATAAAAAAGTGAGTAGGTAAGAAAAAGAGTGAAGTGAGTTCAAGGACAGATAAATATCATATTTTGAAAAGCAAGTTTGCTATGTTGAATAGATGGCATCGATAAATTTTGGATTGTTTCCATCTAGATTGGCACTCACTAAACATACACAGATGTTTGGTTGATTATGGCTCCATTACAGGCCAAGGCATTGTTCTTCTAGTCTTCTTCATAACCTTTCATTTGTTTCATGACCAAATCCAGAATTTTCAAATATGAGGCTAAATATTTCCCTAATGATGGAGACAGCATGGATGCTGATAAATAAATAAAAATAGTTGTTTAAACAAAAGAAGGTTGAAAGAGACAGAAGTTATACTAGTGTATAAAAATAACATTTCTTTTCACTCCAAAAAAGAAAGGAAAAGAAAAAGAAAGAATGAAATAAAGATGTCTGCTGTAGAAAAAAGAAATATGGATGTAAAGAGATACAGGTTATAATATAGGAAAATAAATAAGTGTGCTCAGGCAAAAGACTGAAGGAAGAGTGACCTGTGAGAAGGATTAAAAATTACTGCCATACAGTGTATTCTTTTTTCTTGCAAACAATTAGCTTTTGTATATAAAAATGATGAACAACCATAGTATCTCTTGTTGATTAAAAAAAAAGAGAAGAGACATCAAGAAGTATGATAGATTGCAGCAAAAGAAAAGAAGGGCAAGATGATAGAATGTTTGAAAAAGAAGATGGTGACCTTGAGAGGTAGTATGAGGAGAAAAGAGAAGAAGCAGAAGAGTAGGAGGCAAATTTCAAAGATAGTGAGTGAGAGAAAGAGAAAAGTGAAAATTTGATATAAGAATTAGTAGTAAAAATATTAAGTTTGAAAAGTAAATAAATAGAGAATGTTAAATATATAGGAAAAAGGAAACTGAGTGATAAGAGGGGCTGGTAATGAGAGAAAATATGTAGTGAGAGTAAAGGAGTGATAGTAATATAAGGGAGCAATAGGAAAGTGGAGGAAGGAAAGAATGTAGAGAGAGGGACAACTACAAGGAGGAGGAAATATGTAGTGAGAAGAAAGAAGAAAAATCTGTAAAGAGATAAAAGGAGGACAGAATAATGAAACAAAAGAAACATGGCCATAAACAGTGACAGTGGAAAATCTGGGAAGAGAGGAGGCAGAGTAGAAGATTAAACTGTTTGTAAGAAGTAGACAGAAAGAAAGAAACGAATGATTTAGAGAGAGAGAGAAATAAAGAAAGAAGAGTAGATAAAAAACAATCATGAGTGAAAGGTGGTAGTGGGAGATTTTGAAAGAAAAATGGTGTAAAGGAGGAAGTTGGAAAAGGTAGAAAGTAAGAAAGAAGAGAGATATAGACAAAGAGAGAAAGATGGAGAAGAGATGAACATAGCAACAAAGGATAGAAAAAAAAAAGGGAATGATAGCAATCTAATTGAAAATGCAAATAATTGTTCTCCATTTTGTTGGTTGTTTGCACAAACACAATTGGCAGATGGAAACATTCAGTGATTGAAACAAGTTGTGACGATGACAGATGTTCGATATCAAAATTACCAAAAGATTTCTATAACTCTTTTAAAGAATAAATCACAGAAATTCTTCAAGGGAAGTTTATTTCTATACAAGACAAACAAGAAAGTTTTTTTTTCTTAAATAAAGATGAAAAAATCTAAAAAAGTGAAGTTGCTTCAATGCAATCAACAAGTTAAATGATTTTAAAATGACACTTATTCTTGTCTTTATCTCTCTCTTTTTCTTTTTCAATCTCTTTCTACCTAGGTGTTTTAACCTTCTCTTTTTTCTTCATCTTTTTTCATTAGTAATAACCCCTACCATCTTTATTTCTTCCATAATTTTCTCTCCTTATTTCCCTTTTTATTTAATTTCCCATTTTATTTATTATATACTCTTTCTATTCCTGAAACTATAGCATCTCAAAGGATGAAATCTGCTGGTTGAGTTAAAATTCTAGATTAGACTGCTTATATCACTTTCATCTGGGAAAGGGATGAATCTAACTATTCCTGTTCTATCACCAGTCATATTTATCATAGTCATGTCACTGATACATCACTATGGTAGTGGTAGAAGAACGAGTATTCCATCTCCTATAATTATCTTATCAGCCAAGGTAGAAATGCCTTTTTCTATGTGCCATGTCCCTTCAGGACATTGGTAATTATGTTTCTCCTCAATTTCCTGTTCTTTGTAGCTCTTAGTAAATTTTGTCTTTTTGCTATCTCTCCCAAACCCTGTTATGTCTTCCATTTACACAAGCTCATTAGATAGGTTATGTGAACTATAGTAGTGTAATGGCTAACAAGCTTGTCTCACAGACCAGTTCACTAGTGTAGTCAAATTGAGCTTCATTGGTTGCTACACTATTGTGGTCTTGTACCAGACTCAGCTAAGTAAATATTTGCCTATTCAAGAAGTGACAATAAAACAGTTGTTATAATCATTGTCAGTTTTGACAGATGGAATCCTTGATTGCCAAAACTAACAAAGATGGATTTATCTGCTAGATTTCTTGAAGGCTGTATGATTGTCCAAAATCGTCTGTATCTCCCTAGCCCCACTATTGCAGCTCCTGAGGTGGGGATTTAAATAAGTCATTTACAATAATTATTTACATTATTCGGACTATTGTCCTCATCTTTGTCGCCATATTTATTACAACGTTTCAGCCACTGTACACTCTGACCTTCTTCAGGTGGTTGGAATGTTGAACTGAACCCTTTATTTTGCTCACTGGGGTAGACTGTTCTAGTTCCATGTGCCATGTTTAATGGATGTCAGTTATCAGTTATCTCCTGTTAATTTCCCTCAGAAAGTGATCCACTGCCTTAACCGGGTATTGAACTCACACTCTTTGGGTCCTGTCACTGGATCTAACCAATGCCTTTATCCACTGTGCCATGTGTCCTCTGGAACAGTCTACCCCAGTGAGTGAAATAAAAGGTTCAGTTCGACATTCCAACCATTTGAAGAAGGCCGGAGCATACAATGGCCGAAACGTTGTAATAAATATGCTGACAAAGATAAGGACAATAGTCCGAATAATGGAAATAATGTACATAATATATCATCTCAGAAATATAGACAGATTGTTTACAATCATTTTCAACCATCTTTTGCCTGTCTTAAGAGCTCTTCTCCTGTGCTAGGGACACAGCATGAACAGATAGACAGAAGTGTAATTAGTATTGAACACCAAAAAAAATTGGACATTTCAAAAAACTAGACAAAACTTTAAAAATGACTGAAGTTAAACATTTCTTATGCTAAATGCAATCCTTTTGCATTGGTGCATTTCTATATTATTATTATTATTATTTTTTGAAAATGATAAAAAATATTCTGTACACATATGTTCAAATTAGCAAATCTGGTTAAAAACAGCTGGCTTGGCAGCAACATCTCCTTATTTATAAGTTAACCAGTTATTTCCTCAGTTTAATTACCAGGGCCTCCAGGGTTAGTTGTGGTAAGCATGAAGAAGCAATGAAAGGCTTCCCATTGCTTCTTGTATTTTAACATAACCACTCTTAGGTTTCTCCTCACAGTTTTTAGCCTATGGCCTCTCTTCAAATATGTTAGGACTCTAAAGGGAACCATATGCCCCCACTGCCACCACCACCACCATCCACATTGGTAATGGCTGATTTACAACTATTAACTGATAAATAAGAGATATCAGTTTTTTTTGTTTTTTTTTGCATTTTTTCTGGCTTTTCTTTTTTTAATCTTTGGTGAGAATGAAAGTATTTTGTTTCTGCTCAAGAGTATCTGTAAAGTTCTTCTTAAAAGTTAATTTTGTTCTTAATGCACTAACATACAGAAATGTTGTTTTTTTTTTATTATTTTATTCAACCTCAGTTGAGATCATTGAATTCTAAATCTCATGTCCCGGTTAATTGTGAACACTCTAATTTTTGCATAATCTTCTGCATAGCCAATGTGCTAAAATGGATGATTTGAATTTAAGAGTTGTCCTTCTAGACTACCAACCACAGCTAGAGATCCTAGTATCCCCTGCTATTTAACCTACAGCTGGGTAATGTTAGTGGTAAGATTAGCTGTTTCTATACAGGAAACATTCAGCATTCATTGACTGAACAGTCAGCAATACCATTGATTGGAATTTTATAAATTCTATAATTTTAAATTTTATAAATTATAAACCTTTCTCTTAAAACAGTCTTTCAGGAAAATAAGTTTCTTAAGTCTTTTGGCTGTTACCACTCTAATATTGACAGAAGTTTTTTCCTGAACTTTTGTTTAAATTAGTGAGGAATGTAATACCTTGATTATGGATACATTCTTTTCCCAAAGGTATTTAAGTGAGAATGAATGTAGCAAACTTTTTTTTTAGTCATTTCTTTCCAAAAGAGGTAATAAAGACAGTAAGACACAAGGGTTTTTTAAGTCAAAAGAATCTTAAAGAAAAATATTATTAAGGAGAGAAAATAATTAAAAACAAGAATTAAGAAGGCAGAAGATTACATTTTTGAAGATAAATGTTAATGGATAGGCAAGAAACTGGAAAAGTGTCACACAATTGAGAAGTGTGGAAGAAGAAATTGTTAGCATAGAAATTATGGTTACATCTAGCAACTGCGATTAAGAAATGATGAGACCTAACTGCCAATCTAGTACTTGATTGGAATTGGAAGTTGGATTGCTGATTTCTCTTTCTGAAACACCCCTGTTATATTGCTGGATCATCAGAACAATAGTTAATATGATGACATTAAATTGGAAAAATATATATTCATGTGAAAGATTTAAGAAATTAGAGAATTCTAAATCATAAAAGATCAAAGTAATTCCAATAGTTTACTGATTAAATATTGATTACTTTCAAGTAGGGATTTTTACATGATAAAACATTATGCATTCAAAATACAGATTAAATCTAACAAAATGATTAAATAAAGTACAAGTAGGAAAATCTTTATAAATTTAACATTTCACTATAAATAATGAAACATGTTAAATTTATAAAGATTTGCCTACTTGATCATTATTTAATCACACTTATACATACTAGTAGACCAAAACAACAAGCATAGGGCATCCAATGAGCATTGAACTCACACTAGTTCTTATTGTCAATGAGATGAGTTGCTATTCATTGCATGGTGACCAGTTGGTCATTTATTACCCTTAGTGTAATCTGGTATAAGATCATGAGTTCAAAGGTACCCAGTGGGGCCTGGAATTGTTTCAGTAGATAGTTTTGTGAGACGTAATTGATAATTGAATATAGAATAGACTGTGCTAAGGGTAGTTTTGTCCAACAATACAAGATGCTACAAATCCAAGATATTAACATTAGAACTCAAGTCATGTTCTTAAATAGCCTTGTCAGATCTAGACTCTAATTGTTGTTTGCCTTGTATAGAAATAAACTTCCCTTGAAGTCATGCATGGTGTCCAACTCATTCAAAAATGACTAAACTTTTTGCTGTATGCAACTGTTTTCTCAATGGCTTTGAGCAAATGAAACCTGTAAATCTTAGAGAGGATGAAACTTCATCATATCTTGTGGACTGGGATTACAGAATGACAAAGAACTTTACTAAATAACAGAAACCACATCACTTGAAGACTTTCAACAAATGAAAGGGATAGAACATGTAACTCAAAGTGAAAATAATGACATAAACAAGATGCTGACATTCCACACTACTTTAAACAAAAGGTTAGGAAGGAAGCCCTATCAATACCGAAAAGAGCAATAACAGTTGACTTGAGAAAACTATTTTCCTGAAAAAATGTTTTAACAGAAAGATTTTATAAATTTCAAGCAATAGTAATGCTAAATGTTTAGTCAATGAATGTCAAATGATTCCTTAAAATGAAATGACTAATTTCGCTATTATCATATTGTCCATGGAAAGTGTTCAGATGAACTATATTCCTTAGTTACACCAGATCTAACCTTCATGGCTGAAACCTGCCATATAGTGAACCATCCTCATTTCCTTTATATACCACTGGGGAAATGTAATTTCTAGAGCAGCTTCTTCCCAGGAAGCACTGCTTTGTGGAACCAATGCCCAGAAGGATGTTTCCCCAATCACTACAACCTGTTCATGTCTAGGGACAACCATTATCTTCCCACATATCCCCATAAGCTGTACCTTTTACTTTGTAACTCTATACCTTGAGTGGCTCTTAGGCTTTGTACAGGGTGAACATTATTATTACAAAAAAGTAAAAGAAAATAACAATACACACTATACTAATGTATATTATATAATTAAATTAATAATTGGCCTACATTTCTATTATTTTCTTTTCCTTTTTAAATCATTTCTTCCTTCCTTTTTTTTTTTAAATTTCTTCTAGGTTTATATATTTCTATCATTCAATCAACATTTTTTTTTTACTTTTTTTCTCCAATTCATTGACTTTCTTGATATTTTTTTAATATTAATGCTGAATACAATC